TGGGCCCCCAGAGCCGACTTGCTGCAGATCCAAAAAGGCGGAGCTAGATAAAGAGGAAGGGGTGGAGCTAGAACTGGAGAGCTCTGGGGTTTCCTGCTTTATGGCGAAGGGTGAATGAGGATCTGCCGGAGGGAGGGAGACAACAAGGAGAGAGGGGTGTGAGATGATGGGGCGGGAACATGCACAAACCAAGCCATGAGATGGGCCGAGGGGATGGGGACAGGCAGGCCGGGCTGCTGTAGGAGGAGTCTAGGATGGGGAGCCGGGGCTACACAGTGTTCCTCGGATGGAATGAGATGGGGGGAACTGAAGGCTCTACCGCCCTGCTGCGCCACCTGCCGGTGTAGATGATGGGGCAACTGAAGTATGTGTGTACTCAGCCTCTCCCTGCAAGAGGGAGTGAGGAAATCCAGGGGGGCCAGAGACCCAAGGCTCCATCCCTTTGTTCCAGTTTGAGGCCCAGTCAGCATAGCCCACTTCCTTTCCAGGTCAGCACCCCCAACACCTTCCTCCTGCCAGCCAGACACTTCTGCCTTCCCCTGCCCCAAGCCCATCCTGACCCTCATAGAAGGGTCCAGATGGCTCAGGAGCCTCTGGGCATCCTACCTGCCACCACCGGGTAGGTCTGGTGAGTCGAGAGGTTGCGTCCCAAGGGTGTATTGGAAGGTGTCAGGATGGCCTTCCCATCATCCAGGGCACTGTTGAGTAAGGGCAGTGGGTACAGCCCCTGAAGAACAAAGAGAAGTCAGGAGGGGAGAGCGAGGCCCCTGAGCAAGCCTGTCTTCCTTCTGACCCCACTGCCTGTCTCTGGACTGGGTGGCCCCAGTCTGCCCAGGAGAAGCTCCCTTGCTCATTGTGCCTGCCTTCTTGTTCACTCTTAGCTCAACACGGCATGTTTGATGGGGTCATATCCTCCTGCCCAAGAACCTGAAAACTCTTCAGGACCTGACTTGGAGTTCCCCCGTTCAAGCTTCAGAATAGAATTCAAGGCCTATGGGTAGCATAGAAACCCAGGTATGTGATGGGGGCGGCCATCAGAGGATCACGTCCTGACTGGCTGCTGCTGTCCTTCCTATCTCTTCATATGGTTAGGACCCATAAACAGGACATTGTCTAGGGCTGGAGCAGGGAGCGGGTGGGGCTGCTCAGAGACTCTCTGTCTACCAAAAACTGATTCTGACTTAGGTAGGAAATGCAAGTGCAGAGCTGAAGACATTCCCCGCTTCCCTTGGGGGGCGGGGGGAGGGGTGTAAAGCAAGGATTCCAGCTCCCACGCTCACACTACCAACTGCTGCCCCAGACTGATGGCAATGATCACTTCTACACTTGCTCACGTTTGGGCTTTGCGGCTATCATTCCTGATGAGCAACCCAGCGATACGAGCCAGTAAGACTATGTCAGATTTGCATTACACGTGCAAGTAGAAACATTTAGTTTTGCCATGAAGGATGCACAAGGCTTCATTTTGTTTCAAGAATTCTATCGAGCACTTGGGGTCATCTTCAATAAGAGCTTGTTTCGACTCCTCCTGGTGTTCCCTGGTATGAGATGGCTCAGACACTCTTTGAAAAAAAAATAATTTGCTAGGCTAAAGACAAGAGCATAGCCTACCCGCCCCTTGGCTCCCTGCTGTCCTTCCCAGGGAAAGACAGCTCACATCCACTGCACACACCCTGGTCGTGCAGTTCACAAAAGCACTATACGAACTGTTGTACGCGACTGGAATGGAGGAGTGCTCCCTGGTTATATAACAGTTCTGCTGATGACAATTGCTTTCTGTAATTTCCACTGAGCTCAGTTCTCCAAGGAGTCACAATGCTTTCTGGTTGCATGCAGGGCACTTTTGGAAGCTGCAGTCAATTCTGGAGGCCACCAGGGCACCATCAGCATGGAGCAGCAATTACGGACTAAATGGCACTCTGGTTCCATTCTTCAAGGGGGCCTACTTAGAGGCAGGGTGGAGCTGCTCAGAGTCGGATTCTAATGAAACTGCACAAAACACCTAATTTCTAGAGAATGGAAGAAAAGTTGGAAATGTCTTGTGAATGTGTGGATTTGACAGTAAAACGCTCACTGAAAATCAAACTTCTGTTCCAAATTCAGGCCAAAGAGCAAAGGAAAGCTAAGTAGCTAGAGATTTGGGTGATGTTGTGTTTAACATCTTAAACATGCCAGTGATGACTGGATTATTTTTTTCTGGGATTGAACTTGAATTGGAGGCAAGAGAGAATAATGATTCAGAACTGAAATAAATGACTTAGGGTCTTGATTGGGCAACAATCTGCAGGAAATTGTGATCTGTTTGAACTCTCTGAGCCTTGGTTGTTTTTCCTCCCCTACCTTTAAGGATAGGGGTCCTAGAATCTACTGCAGAAGACTGATTAAGTATTAATTGTGATTTTAAATAAAGTGTTGCTTGGCCCAGAATACTCAGCAAGCACAGATGTTCAGCAAGAAGTGATGATAGATGTATTTTACTATGATGGGAAAAGTCACTAACTGCCACATTCTTGGCCTGTCTTCGTAACAGTCTCTCCCATTCTGTTGATTCACATGGTGGTGGACTTAAAATATAGAGGAAGAGCCACACAAATTTCTAACAGCACCCGGGGGTGGCACTTCTAAGAGAAATGAGGTCACTTTCGCCCTCACCAATATTTCAGACAAGAAGTGTATGTCTTTGTCCCATGCAAAGACCAGGTATGAGCATCTGCTTTTATCTCATCTCGCAAAGACATCAAGCTTTCTGTGCCTGGATGAAAGACCATGTTCCTTTGGGTGGCACAATACCCAGAAGAGCAAGGCTCAACCTAGGTGCTTTCTGCCCCTCACAATCCAGCCTGATGAGTCAATGAAGGACAGAAGGAAGAGCTGAGGAACACTGGGCTGGGCTTCACTTTACTCCTTGAGGTTGAGGGTTTAGAGAGGTTTAATGACTTTCAAATACTCTTGTTTTATTCACTCTTTACAGAAGAATGCCCTGGCACACACCTTTAATCCCAGCACTCGGGAGGCAGAGGCAGGCGTATCTCTGTGAGTTTGAGACTAGCCTGGTCTATAAAGCCAGTTTCAGGACAGTCAAGACTACACAGAGAAACCGTGTCTCAGAAAATAGATAGATAGATAGATAGATAGATAGATAGATAGATAGATAGATAGATAGATAGATAGAATTCATGGAATTGCCATGTCAAAAATTGGTAAGGTAGAACAATTCATACGAATGAAACTAGGGTTGGCAGCCCTAAACTCTGCAATCATCTGCTTCCCCAAGTCCTTCCGTGCTCCAGGTCCCGAGTAATTCTCATACAAATTGAAAAAAGGTAGGCTGTGTGGTCACCAAGTCTCCTGTAGTTCTAAGTGTCTCTTATCCTAAGATCCTCTATGCATACCCATCAACATGGCCCAAGGGCTCACTCTAACCAAGTAAGGTCTTTGAAGGACTTATGGGTGACGCAGGGAAATGGCTCTAGCACCTAGTAGATACCAGGGTCTCCTCGGTAGGGCTTCATTATTCTCCAAGGGGCGCTAGTATAAGCAGATTGCGTTTTTTGCAGGCTCACCACCATAGAGCAAGCTTCCGGCAGGCTCAACACTTGCCTCCAGGAGCCATGCTCTGATTATCAGCAGTGCACCCAGGCCCTCTGCTTGGATCTGCTGATAGCCGACTGTGTCTACACCCTTCACAGCTGTCGTAGCCAAGGCTGATAAAAATCACTGACGCATATTGCCTACCCAGCTGTGGGGGTTGGCGCAGGGCCAGCAACCAAGCCACTCATTGGCAACGTTTCAAGGGCTTGTTAGCATCAGCGTTGTCTCCCTCAGGTCTTAAAGGTGAACTTATAGGCTTGCCTCAAGCCAAGAGGACAGATAGGTCATACCCAAAAGAGTTTCCTGAGCTATTTGAGTAAATGGCACGAAGGGAGACAGACTTTGGAACCATTGACATATCAAACGCATCTCAGTGGTTGTTAGCATTGTGAAGTTTTTGTTGGCCTCAGTGTGGGGATATTCATATCTCTGTCTGCTTTGTAGAAAAACTATCCCATTATAACCCATTTCTCCATGCCTAAGATCTGGAGAGGGAACCCCCCCTGTAGCTTGTGTCTTAGCGTTCTTGATTTTTCAATTGATCATTCATTGATTTCTCATTGGATCATTCGTTTGATATACCTTTGTGGAGTAGCCATTAAAATCCCGGACTTGGGATGTTATTCAAAAGGAGAGGGCTTGTCTCATGTGTGCGTGTGTGAAGTCCTGGCTTTGATCCCCATCACCATAGAAAAGAAAATAATAATGAATAATAAGAATGCTAGACTCTAGAGATAGGAGTGGGGGTGGCTCAAGAGGCCACTCTGTCCTTAAAAAGTCCGTTGCCTTTACCCCTACTCATGAGATTATTAGGATGAACTGTGAAGTCAGTAGAAGCCATGTGTGAGACAGGAAGGATGACAGGGGCCGTGAGTCACAGGTGGGGGGCAGATTCGTGGAAACGGAGATTGAGCTGAGTCATTGCAGCCAGCTGGTATTTTTTCCAGGTAGAGCAGTTAGAAGAAAGGCTTCCTGCAAGGAGGGCACATGGTGTACCAGGGCAGAGAGGTGTGAATGAGGTCAGGGTACTTGAACACATGAGTCACCCAGAATCCTAGGCTGCGTAAAGGGAGAGACTGGAGGTGGCGCTAGGTGTGGCGTTGAGGTCATCATAAAAGGGTGTGAGCCTTAACTCCAACTGTGGGTCTGATTCTATTGTTGGAGAAAGCCGTGGAGGACAAAAGGAGCCCTGCATGCACGAACTAGGTTCAGAGTTCAGTTTCGGGTTGCGAGAAGAGGGCAGGCAGCGTCAAGACATCTTGCGAATAAGGCATGCATGCGGCTGGACACTGCATCAAGTCTGTGCCCTGAGCCTCTAGGAGCAATTTGGACTTGCTTTGATGGCTGGAGTTGATGCTTTGCTCTTGCCCTTGCCTAACCCGCCTAGGTTCTGCAGCCCACTTTCTCACCTGCTCGCCTTTGGTGTGGCTGGGGGAGGCGTAGGCCTCCGAGTAGTGCTGCCGCTCAAACGGACAGTCGAGCGGCTCGAGGTGGTGCTGGCTGAAGGCGTCCGTCCGAAGGTGCTTTCGGGGACCGCTGCTGCTGCTCTGTGAGTCGATGCTCAGCCGACAGCTGTCCTGGTCACCTAGTGCCCCCCGAGAAGGCAGGAAGAAAGCTTTCAGGGGACCCCCCTGCCAAGCCACCAAAGTGGCCAAAGCAGAGGAGCAGACGGGCTGAGGAGGTAGGGAAAGGGTCAGCAAGAGGAAGGACCCATGCGCCTGTGAATAGGGAGTGTCAGAACCCTACCCAGTCCTAGGCCAAAGGAAAGCCTTCTCTTCATATTAAAGCTGGAGCAGAGTGGTATCCTGTGTCTCGTACCACCCACAGGTCCCCCAAGAACTCACTATCATCCATCTTCCTCTTGTTGTCACCGCCAGGCTGAGCGATGCCCAGGAGCCCACTGATAGAATAGGTAGAGCCCAAGGAATCCGACTGGGGTGACTCTGGGGGTGTTACGGCTGAGCTGGGGACTGCAAAGGAAGAAGGAGAAGGGTCAGAATGGGAGATGATGCTCCCCACAGCCCCTGTTGCCACCGTGGGTTCAAAGCCGGAGGCCATGCTGTGGCCAGAGGCCCTGGAGAGCTAGAGTCCTTCACTTCCAAAGGCCTGCTAGTGCGAGGGGCTCCTAGAATGATATTTGTCTGGTGTGTCCATTTCCCATGTTCCCATGAGTCTCCCATGAGCGTGGAAATAGACTTTATCTCAGGGTAATAACTCAGTCCATGTACAAACATATGAACACTCGTATGTTCTTGTGTGTCTGTATGTGTCTGTGTCTACATGGGTATGAGGACTGGATCCTACATTCACGGGTGTGGGCACAGCCAAACCCCTAAGCACTCACTCAGCGTGTGTCCTGGACTCAGAGACTTGCTGGCCACGCAGCTGTCCATGGGGAGGTTGAAGGGTTGCTGCACTTTGGTTCGGATGATTCTGTGAGGGAGCAGAAGGATTGTTAGAGAAAGAGGATGAAACAGGAGCTGTGGCTCTCCAGGATCCTGTCACCATGACAACCCAATTAGATGTCTTCTATGTGTCTCCAACTCGATGAGTGGACCATCCAACTATGACCGCACCTCATTCTTCACACCTCCTTCTCTGTGTCATGTGTCATGACCAGAAACATGGAGCTCTCAAGGCAGAAATACAGGGGTAGCTTAGCGGGGTTTGTAGATTTGACCTGGATAACCTCCCCGGAACTGACCCTGTTCTGTATCTCATTGTTAAGACCTGAATGTGTGCCACCATCCGCTCTGTCCCTCTAGAGTCCCGAAGTGACCCACCCCACATATTCTATCTAGTTGTTTCTCTCCTTTTCGGTCAAGGGAGCTCTTTCAAATACAAATAAGCTTCCTGCTTAAAACACACTAAAAGCTGCCCACTGCGGATGCTTTAAAGGCGGGAATCTGTTAAGGTGACCACGGATTCTTGGGGACAGCTTTGTCTGTCACCTTATACTCAGAATACTTCAGGTTCTTCTTGTCTCTTGACTGACTTCCTCTCATCTCCTGCGCAAGCTCTCCTTAGCCGCAGGCTTTCGTATGTAGTGGTGGGGTTTGCCTGGCAACGCTTTCCACCTAGTTAAATCCCACTCCCAGCTTCTTACTTAGGGGAAGACCCTCACGATTTCATGAAAACAAGTTACCATAGGCTATCCCACACAGCCCCTGCAGGACAAGTAGCTGCATTTTTGCATTGTCGTTTTGGGTACTCTGTGTCTGTGTTCCCATTAGATTGTAAGCTTCACAAGGACAGGGATTTTGTGTTCTGGAAACTAATATGGAATAAATGAATGAATGATGTGTGAATGAATGAGTGAGTACATGAAGGACCGAGGCAGGGAGCAAATGATTGAAAAAGTGACCAAGTGACCAAGTGACCAAGTACTCCAATGAGGGCCAGGAAGGGATCTACTCAAGAAGCTCCTTTCACACAGTAAAAGGATAGGGTGTTTAAGGAAGGAAGATACAGCACAACATAGTGTGGGGACAGAAGGAGGCTCCACAGCATGAGCAAGAGAGAGCTGGGAGAGGTGACATGTGCCAGGCCCGGGAGCTCCTCCCTGATTCCTCAAAGTGAAGCCTCTTCCAAAACCCCTACTCTGCCCAGGCCATTCACATCTCTTATAGGAATCCTCCAGAACCTTGGGGTCTAGGAGGGCGCCGGAAGCTGCCCTCTCTCACCTGTTGATGGAGCTGACACTGGGCACAGTGTCATTGTCACAAACGCCTTCTGCCAGGAGCCGGTCCCGGATCTCCCAGGCGAACATGGTGGGGTTCTGCCGCTTGTAATCCCCGATCTTCTCCACCACCTTGGGGGTGGCCACCTTGGGCTTGGAGCCCCCTATCACTCCAGGCCGGATGCTGCCAGTCTCGTAGTACCTACTCCAATAGAGAACCCCCCCAAAATTACCCGATAAGCAGGTGGGGCCTTTAAACAGGAACTTGGCCAGTGCTTCTGACCCCTCTGGATATCCCAAGGAGAGGTATGGGAGTGAGTGAGACAGGCCCCTCCCCCAACTCCTGTTCAGCCCAACACTGGATTTCTCTCCCACAATCCACTTCACTTGTGTGAGTAGATTTATGCTGCTACCAAAGCAAGACCCCTCTGCAAAGACTTCATCTTGGGTTCT